CTTTGTTAAAATTTGCAAGGGGGTTAAGTGTTTCCCACTCCTAATATGTATAGATGTATTATCTTTCTATATTTGTAGGTACATTTCAAATTACTTCAAATATAATATTTACTTACTTGCACATAATAATAATAATAATAATAATAATAATAATAATTTTTACTCCTGCTAAATTAAACAAGGCTCAAGCAACTGAACCTCCCCCCCCCCCTTTCCCCTTTTTTTGTTGTTGACGGAAAAATTATAAGGGAATGCCCCCCCCCCATGATTTCTTTGTGGCAGCGCCTCTGACTAAAGCATGTAAGTTGTCGGCAATCAATTCTTTTCGTGATTAATTTCCTTAAAGACACGATTGGGATTTGTAACTACCGACACTTTTCTTATCATTCGCCTATCGGACAACGTTTCTGCAGCATCCTCAAGGAATTCAAACCTATCCCTACACGGCAACGCCACAATAACTTTCAAATATGTTATTTAAAAGTCACTTTCACATCTTCTTCAGGACGACCTAAACCACAACTGACTGTTGTGTGAGTTTTCAGAGGTAATCATTTTACGTTCTGTGGTGAAGTCTATGGTTAAAGACCAGCAAGGAGATACAAATTAGAATTTTGAGAGCAGGCATCTTCCCTATGGCTACATACGGATGTAAGTTGTGGATTATCTCTCAGTCCTTAAGAAAGAGAATAGGGGCTTTTGAGCTGAAATGCTATAGAAAGATTCTCAGAATACCTTGGACAAAGAAGAGGAGAAATACTGACATCTTGAAAGATCTGAACATCAAGGATGATTGACTAATAAACAACCAATCTGTCTCGGAAGTTGAAATATTTTGGTCATATCAAGCGCTACGATGGATTGGAAAAAATTATAGCTGAAGGCATGGTACCAGGAAGGAGGGGCAGGGGCCGACCGACACGAAGATGGGCACAGGATATAAGTGACTCCTTGAATATGAAAGCACATGAGGCGGGAGAACTGGCGAGACACCAAGTTTCGGTACAATATTTATAACGTACCCCACGACGTCACGATGACATCACAGGAGACATTCAAATAATTTCCAGGGGGGTAAGTTTAGGGGGACTTTTCCCTTCTAGAGTGCATCGCAAAAGCGCGCGCTTGTTGGCGACTCTTATGACGTGTGTTTACCGCGCGTCAGCAGTCTTCATCATTGCCGCGTCTGGTTGCAGCAGTTTTCATCTTTGTTTGCTGTTAGTTCCAGCCATGGTTCCAGATGGAAACGAGAAAGACACCCTTTTTTCAACGTGATATCGCTGCAAATTTTTCTACAATTATTAACATCTGTAAGAGACAAGGAGACCAGCATTGCCTTCTTGCAACAGCATGACATTCTGCGTAGAACGAGACGTTGCAGAAACAACCATCAGATAGATGGTATATAATCGCTGTCGGAAAGACACACGACCGTTTGCCGGTGTCAAAACTCCACCTGTCGTCTGGACATACCCGTACGGCAAATTGCGGACCTCTTTCCGGCGACTATACCGCGACCGCCGAGAGAATCCCCTGCGCCGCGCGGAGTGGGGCTAAGCTAGATTGCTGGGACTCACGAGCAGCAGCTACCGCATCTCCTGCATCTTCCTCCATTTTATTTCCTCGTGAGTCCCAGCCATCTATTTTAGCCCCACCGCACAGCGCGTAGCGGAGCGGAGGGTACTCTTGGCGGTTGCAGTATAGTGGCCGGAAAGAGGTCCGCAATTTACATGTGACTGAGGCCCTGTTAAGGTATAACATTTTAGGCCGCTATAATTTGGTGCCATTATTCAGAGGATAGTCAAAAACACAATTTACATTTAATAATAATTTTTAAAAAACATTTTTTTTTTAAAAACGCAGCATCTTTCATTTATAAGTCTGATATGATATCAACAAACTCCACACAATCACATGATGAAATGATATAAAAACATGACCAGTATTGTACACCAGGCAAATCATGAGATGACAAGCATTAAATTTTGCCAAGTAGAGCTGAGCATGTCGCCGAATGCGACCGTGGAATGGAGCAACTATTTACGGGAGGTTTGTGCGAATACATTGTTATTGAATCCTGCAGTGATCGGCGGAGAGAACACCACTGTTGAAATCGATGAAAGTCTCTTTGTCAGACGTAGGGATTGAACGCAGCATCTTTAATTTATAAGGCGGATGTGATACCAACTACGCTATACAGTCACATGTTGAAATGTTCTAAAAACATAACTAGTATTGTAGAAGGGATTAAACGCGGCATCTTTCATTTATAAGGCGGATGTGATACCAACTTCGCTATACGGTCAAAATGTTGAAATGTTCTAAAAACATGACTAGTATTGTAGAAGGGATTAAACGCGGCATCTTTCATTTATAAGGCGGATGTGATACCAACTTCGCTATACGGTCAAATGTTGAAATGTTCTTAAAAAAAAACGACTAGTATTGTTGACCAGCCAATTGCGCATCAACAAGCAGCCGATTGCGCACCAACAGACATAAATATGTCACACCATAAGACACTAGATGAACACTCAACAACAGCAGCACATTTGCAACCTTAAAATAGTGGACTGTCAAGTCAGCTGTGGAATTGCCGTGCTTGGGGTACGTTATAAATGTTGTACCCAAGTTTCTTTCAGGCAGACTGTGATGAGAGCGACGTTCTGCAAAGGACCTGCTACATGATGATGATGATGGTTTGCCATTACCTCTCTAACAGCAAAGACCCACCCCCAAAACAAAATCAACAAAAACCGGTCTGATACCATGCAGCTTATTTCGAGAATCAGTATGTCGGGAATGTGAAACTACGTTAACATCTCCCAAGTCAGAGAAATTACCAAACAGTCGGTCAGGTGCCACTTTTGACCTGGATGTACAACTCTCCCAGGCTGCTGTTTGTCGATCTCCTGGTGTTATTCTCCCACTTGTATCACTGCCTGCCTCTTGCTCGTTTGCCCTCAACTTGTCTCTCCAGTACGATTTTTATAAGTGTGTTGTTTTTAATACGTCCGAAATGTCTCATGCCTCTTCTTTATTTCCTGCAGCAACTCATTTTATTCTCAAATTCGACACCATTTCTGTATTTGATGGTTTTTGTGACCATGAAATACTATCTATTCTTCTAGCCACTGTGCTTCCAACCGAATATTTTGGTATATGTTACCTACAAAGTGGCCTTCGCTGTTTCTGTTATTTTGCTGCAACATGCTCTATTTCTTCAGTATCCACATATCAGTGCTGTTTGTTTACGCTGTTTAGGGTTAGTGTTATCATGTGACCAAGTAAAATCGTTACTAACTTTCGATGAATCCATTAATACCACTGAGCCTTCTTGCTTCCTATTAGATATGCTAAAATATTGTCATGTCGTTTTCCAAATGGCAGCATCCCCAATGCATTCAATGATGCGTACAAGATAAACGTGAACAAAAAAAAAGCATACACCAATAGCAGATAAAATCAAACTACTAATTATATTAAAGCAGCAGTTCTCAACATGTGCGTCGCGACCCTTTCACAGGGGTCGCCATAGACCATCGCAAAACACATACAGTAGAACCTCGCTTAACGAGCACCTCTCATAACGAGTAATTCGCACAACGAGCAAACACAAACTGTAAAAGAATGACTCGCTTAACGAGCGACATTTCGCATAACGAGTGGCGAGGAGAGGGGAAGTCCTGAATTTTGCGCATGTTACATCAGTGTTTAGCACTCGTTCCAGTAGCATTGTCGCGTGTAATCAGACATTTTCTCAAACTTGTGTTATATTGTGATACATGTACATGAATCCTCCAGGCCTAAGTTAATCAAGAACCAGTTTCTGCCTCCCAACACCACTCCGTTACTCCAGCCAATGGACCAGCAAGTTTTTTATAACTTTAAGAAGCTCTACACTAAAGCAATCTTCGAGAATTGTTTTCAGATGACTGAAGGGACCAGCCTTACTTTCAAAGAGTTTTGGAAAAATCACTTCCACACTGTTGCCTGCCTCAAGATGACCGGCAAGGCGGGGGAAGGGGTTACCAAGAGAACCTAACTTCTTCGTGGAGGAAGCTATGGCCCGAGAGTGTTGTCGATTTGTGACTTTGGGGGTTTCGAGTCAGTACCTGTGGAACCTGTAGTCAACGAGATTGTGTCTTTGACCACTATCATGGGATTGTAGGTGGATAACAGTGATATCGAAGAGCTTGTGGAAGAGCACAGCCAAGAGCTGACCATCGAAGAGCTTATAGAGTTGCATTGTGTTTCACAGCAAGACGTTTTGGAGGAAACTTTGTCAGAGGAGGAGGAGGAGGAGGAGAAGGTAACAGAAAAGCAACAATTTTCTGGCGAAAAAAAAAAATGCTGAAATCATGGGAAGTTTCTTCTCATATTGAGAAGCATCACCCTAATAAGTGGCTATGCGCGCTGCAAATTTAATGATAATGCTGTGTCGCATTTTCGCCAAATTTTGAAGCGTCGACAAAAACAAATGTCTCTGGACATCTTTCTAGTAAAACAATAATTATCATAATTATTTCGGCTTTTTTTTCTGCAAATCGAATTCGCATTCCATGTGGGTTCGTTCCGCGTTTGGAGAAAAGATGAAGATGATTCACTTTCCTTAAATATGTATATATTTTTCTTTGAATAAATGTTATAGTATAACTTATACACAGCATTTTGTGAGTATTTTTTTTTTTCGACATAGAACGCATTATCATATTTTACATTAATTTATATGAGAAAAATTGCTTCGCTTAACGAGTATGATTCTGGAACGAATTATGCTCGTTAAGCGAGGTTCCACTGTATGAAGTTATGAAGTGGCAACGAAAATAACCATATGGTTGGAAGTTCGCCACAAAGTTAAGAGCTGTATTAAAGGGTCGCGGTTAGAAAGGTTGAGCACCGCTGTATTTATTAAAGGGTTGCGACATTAGAAAGGCTGAGAACCACTGCATGGAAGGAAACGAAAAGGAGCAAAAGGATAATGTTCACAGTGCACTTACCGACATGTTTGAGCTGCCAGGAGTGTTGGTGCCATAGCCTGACGACGGCACAGAAGCAAACGACCACCGCCTGCCATCACATCTGCAATGTTAGGGTGTTTGTCATACATCTGTTTAGGAAGTAACTTGACACAACATCATCATGTAGCAAGTCCTTTGCAGAACGTCGCTCTCATCACGGTCTGCCCTTAAAAAAAAACTAAGTCTCTCGCCAGCTCTCCCGCCTCCTGTACTTTCATACTCAAGGAGTCACTTATATCCTGTTCCAATCTTCGTGTTGGTCGGCCCCTGCTCTCCTTCTTGGTCACATGGCTTCTGCTATTATTTTTTCCAATCCGACGTGGCGCTTGATGTGATTAAAATATTTAAGCTTCCTAGACAGGATGCTGTTTATTAGCCTATCTTCCTTGATGTTCAGATCTTTATTAAAGATGTCAGTATTTCTCCTCTTCTTTGTCAAAGATATTCTGAGAATATTTTTATAGCATTTCAGCTCGAAAGCCCCTTTCCTCTTTCTTAAGGACTGGGAGATAGTCCAGGACTCGCATCCGTTGCTACAGGGAAGATAGATGCTCTCAAAATTATAATTTTGATCTCCTCATATACTTTTTAGACTGTTTAATCTTTGCATTGCTATGCCCATCCTCCTCTTAATTTATATCAAACAGTCTCCATTGCTATTTATTATAGACTTGACACAACACAAACTATAAATAAGACGTTCATCCTAGAGAAAGGGAAAATGCGCAAATTCGAACCAATGTTTTGATTAAAATCTTGGCCAACGAACAAATCAAACTGAATAGTTCAAACAACAAACAACTGAAGATGTCACATGGAACGGAGCTGTAACAAACAGACAGAGAGAGATTTTGGAGTCACAAAATAAAAGAAGGGAAAATTTAAAGCTACGTTACATGGACGACAGACTTTAAGGCTAGAAAGAACTTGTTCAAATAACATTTATATCAACAAGGAGACATACTCTAAAACTAGAACGAACTTGTTACCAAAGCAACAGCTAACTAGTATAAAGGTGATAAAAAATAAGGCCAGAGTGTACTTAATATAAGTAACAATGTGACAGACTAAGGCGATATAGTGAACTTCTCTAAAAAAAAAAACGTTAATTGGTAATTAAAAAAAAAAAGTATAAGGCTAGAGTGCACTTGTGAACAAAGTAGTAGTTCATCAGTTACAAGATGTACTCTGAGAAACAAACAACAAATATGTTACGGAAATTATAACCATAAACAAGAGTGTAATATGCAGTATAAGGTCAAACAGTGTACTCACTTCCTAATAGCCTGGAAAGCAAAGTGACCATGTTGGTTTGGGGACAGGTTCCGAGGACTTTCATGTGGTGAACCTGCAAACAACAACCAAACAAACCGTTAGCAGTGGGATTAGTTCTATACTTGGGTGAGGGAAGAGAAGACTAGCGAGAGAGATGTGTGTGAGAGAGGGAGGGAGGGAGAGAGAGAGATGGGGAGAGAGAGAAATATCAGAGACAATGTCATTATCATCATGTGCCGTGTTGGTAGGCGTACGCTGTCATGTTTCGCCACTTCACACGATCATCAGAAATCACGAATCAGGTCAAAATTCTTGTCTTACCAACCCCCCCCCCCCCCCTTTTTCCCCCTCCCCTTCCCCTTCCCCCTCCCTAATCCATGGTGTGAAATCCAAGACAATCTTGGAACCACCATTGTTTTCCTTCTAAGCAGGGACTGCAATGTTAGGTGACTGTAACCACAGTCATTACAATGTCATCTTCTGCCCGAAATGTCATGAACTTTCGGCCATAATCAACAACTATTTGTTGGCTGCTCTCCATCCACCACCTGCTGCCCTGTTTTCGCGTTACCCTGGTCCAGGTCATGTGTAGCCACAGGAACTCAAACTTGCCAAAACTGGGGGACGGGGGTGTGAAAACGGAGGGGGGGGGGGAGCAGCTACGAGAATGGGACTGAGAGATACCGAGAAAGATGAGAAAGGGGTGTGAAAGTTGAAAAGGGTTTATGAAAGAGATAAAAGAGACGAAACAGCAATGTGAAACGAGTTAGAGAGAGAGAGAGAGAGAGAGAGAGAGAGAGAGAGAGAGAGAGAGAGAGATTTTGTGTGTTTCGGCGAGATAAGATTGTGTAAAAAATATAAGAGGCGTGTGAGATGAAGAAAGAGCTAATTTGTGAAAAGAGAGAAGCACTTAAGAAAGGGGATAAAAGATGTCACAAAGATGCATATGTTATATTGGGGAGGAAGAAGGGGGAAGAGAGAGAGAGAGAGAGAGAGAGAGAGAGAGAGAGAGAGAGAGAGAGAGAGAGAGAGAGAGAAGGAGCGAGAGAAATATATTATACAACGGTCCATACAGTAATTTGTAAATGACCTTGTTATTAACAGGCTCCTCAATTCATATAAGAGACACAATCAACATCAGCAAATACCTTGCCGACAGGCTGATGCCAGTATATTTTACACATGTCAAATCAACATTCTCCCTGTAACTTCTGGGGGTGGGGGGGTGGGGGGAAGCGTGGTGGAGAGAACAGACTCATGTCCCCTAACAAGCATATATTTTCTTAGAATCGGACTACATCTGCCTGAGAGGGGAAGAACCAACAGTCTGCATGAACATAACCTAGATATGAAAAACGGATCTACAGGCAAAACTCAGGTTCTGAAACAAGACAAGACCAAAGTCTGGAAGTGGAGGAAAAACCAGAACTTTCCGCCAGTTTACAGCCGGTGAACACGGAGACATGGTCACTCACAACAAACCATAAAAGAAAATTAGTAACCACGGAAATGAGATGTCTGAGAAGGGCTGTAGGAGTGACCATAAGAAATAAGATCAGAAATGAGATCATAAGAGAACAAGTCGGCACAGAACCAATTCTGGATTACATACAAAGACAGCAAGTGAAATGGTTTGCCCACTTAGAGAGAATGCCTTGTGACACCATACCATACAAAGCATACATGGGAAGAGAAGAAGGACGTAGAGCACGGGGTAGACCAAGAACAAGATGGAAGGATAACATCAGAGAAACTCTACAACAGCACGATGTGCCTATGGTCCAGGCAGCCAGAAGAGCTAGAAACAGAACCTTATATCTCCCTCGACACCCACAGCGGTAAAAGAGGAAGCGAAGAAGAAGAAGAACACGGAGAAGACGATACCATTGATGAATTCATGAGCTGGCAATTGTTGTCGTCTTTCCTCTATCTCTAGCTGCCCATAAATCCTTCGAGATACACGTTTCCATTTTTTTGTCCGTTAGATAGTGCGGCCATAAAGTGATGACTGCCTCTTAACGATAGCTGTACTGTGATGTCTTGGTGACAGCCTATTTTATTTTTAGCTTATCACCGGAACAACCGAGTGTGAGCACTGAGCAAGATATATTCCCGGACTGCCGCTGGCATCCAGTAATTGCTATTTTCTGCCATGCACACTACAGCTTTTAATAGTCACGAGCAATCTCTCTCCCTCCCTCCCCCATCTCTCTTTCTGTGTGTGTGTGTGTGTGTGTGTGTGTGTGTATGTGAGAGAGACAGAGAGAGAGAGAATGTTTAAATCGCTTTCTTTAATTATAATAATGCAAGCTTAATTTAACCGTTGAACCAAAAGCAGAATGAAAGACTAACGAATGAATGTAATCGCACTCCCCCCCCCTCCCCCACCATCACCTTTATTTCTTTCTCTTGAAAATAAAAGTCATTCTATTAGTTAGAATACACGTATAGTTGTTGGGAAAACGACGGAGACAAAACTAGAGAGGAAGTCGTTGGGTGCCCAATTCGGTTTGTGTGATGGATGAGGGTGTCCAAAAACTGAGTACAGTTCCTCCCGTGTGGATTCAGGAGCCACATTCTGAGCGAAAAAGAAGAGACCCACAGGCATGGCGTACAAGGCAACTAATCAGGAGAGTTCCCTTCTAAGACCGAGTGCATATGTCTGGCAGGCGAGGAATCACCACTGTGTACAAATGAGCCACATCTGTAACAATGGATGTGTGTATGACAAATTCAAATTCTGGAACAAGACCACAGCCCACAAGACCAGAATGTCCACCCAGAGTTGACAGCCGGTGAATGCTAAGAAGGCGAAGAAGAGTAATGGTCTGGAGAACTAGCACCCAGACGGACAGTTTCCTCAACAAGGGTACCAGGAAATCTTTAAGACATGGCAGGTTTGTCTACTCTTGAGGGGTGGGGTGAATATGTTAAACAGGACTAGAGGTCACATTATACTGATATGCATCTTGACTCTTTTATGAAAATGAAAACGAAAAGGATCCTTTTCATGTTTCTGGTATTGGTCATTTAGTGCTACACGTCTGTCAGTAGCACGTCCCTTGCAGAACCCTGATCCAATAATAACCCTCCAGAAAACGTATCGATCACACGCAAGATGTCCCGCGTCCCATGTACCCATCTGGAGATAATTCTGCACCTGTCTTCTCTTTGGCCTTCCTCTTCCTCTCTTCCCAGGCATATACCCCTCCATTATTATTCTCTCGAAACGTAGTGCTACACCTAAATACCTATATTTTCTTGACCAACTGGCACTCGGTGTGTGCTGTGGTCGGCCTTTACTTCACTGGAAATAACTATGTACTCGTTTTAGGTTGGGTCGACCTGAGGGCCAAGATCAATTTTGTACAAAACATCAGTCTCGATGCGGATCTGAAATGACTCCGTGCTAGGGCGCACAATTTGTAGACACCCATGTATGTATGTAACATTATGTTTAGTCAGAACGGCGTATTCGATGAACGCTCATAACGTGTTTATGGCAATGAGAACTCAACATGTATGATACTGAATATATAGTGATTTTGTAAATGAAAAGGGGAAGAAAAGCGAATGTCAGGCAGGTCTGTACACCTAATGTGTGATCGTTTTAAAGTAAACATCGTTAATTCTAGCTCTCTCTCCCCCCCCCTCTCTCTCTCTCTCTCTTTCTCTCTCTCTCTCTCTCTCTCTCTCTGACAGGCAGACAAGATACGAAACAGAAACAGAACATTAGACAGAGAGTTTTCCACCTCCCCGACTTTCTATACTCCATAGACCATGATTCACATAAATCCAAAGAGATGTTTACAAAGCAAAAAGTTGGACTATCAAGGTTGAAAAACGACATAAAAGGCATGAAAACAATAACAGTAAGTGCGTGGGCTAGGAAGACAAAATAGAAGCACTTTCACCACAGCACGATCTTCACCCATTGTCGGCGCAGTTCACAAATAGGTATACAACAGGGCAACAACATGTCTAGCATGTAACAACAATCGACCAGAAGGGGGGAGCAAAACAAGGGTAATCGTGCATTTGCAAGTCTTCACAATCAGTCTGTGCCATCGATTTTACGGCAGAGAATTCACTGTCTGTGCCATTTAAAAACATGTTATCAAGACAAATGGGAGAACTTGGAGGCCGCAGCACGAACACAAGTAACAGGAGAAAGCTCACAGAAACTGTCTGTCGGTGTTAACGTGTCGGTACTAACATCATTTGGCTCTCAGGGCGACCCAGCCTTAGTGGGTACCTATACAACAGTTCACGTTCAGAAGATACAATAACAGGTAGAACTAATCTACATATTTCAGCATCATGAATACCGACTGGTCTATAAAATATATGTCTAGCGCTATAAGGCCAACATTCATGAAGGCGTGCAAAAGGGTCTTTTGCTGACATCATTAATGTTTGAATTAACCTGTGTCAGTAAACTCACTAGGAGTTTGTTGGTATGAACTCACATGATATGCATTCGAGACTTTCTAGTGGTCCAACCAGATCCTACACTAACTCATTCTGTCTATGTTCTTACTTCTTTAACTGCTTCTTATAGCCTTTTATTATTAATCATAGGCTTTTATTAAGTTCACCTTTTGTGTTTGTCTGGACAAAACTTTGCCTTCGGTTTTTAACTATTTCCTGATAAAATATCCAGCTCAAATTGTGCAGGCGCGCGCACGCACACAAACAGAGGGAGAGAAAGATTGTGGGTAATAATGCATGGGGTGCCTAAACAGAAACATTTTAGAATCGACTTGCATTGACTAATGTCTAATCCACTTTTATGTACATATGTGTTTTTAACTGTTAAATATATATATATATATATATATATATATATATATATATATATATATATATATATATATAATGTAATTATGTGTATATAATTACTAAGGAAGCCCCACGCTTTAATTACTCTTGACATAAAACTATTGAAGAATTTAGGCAGGAGTATTGTTTAATCTTTATATAAAATTAACTATAAATAATTGGTCTCTTTGTGATGCCATAATAGTGTAATGCGTTTTTAAAGCCTATTTTTAAATTTAAATTTTGTTTGTT